GGCTGCCTGTGGCCCCTGCAGGATCCACGCCTCAATTCGGGGAAGGGCTGTGACTCACCCAGTGATGGGAAATAGGTGGTTTTCCCTGGCGGTCAGGTCTGTGCCTGACCCCTGCGCTGCAGCAGCAGCTGCAGGAAGCAGGATCCGGCCCCGGCGTGAGGGCAGGAGCTCTCCCTTGGGCTTCGCAGGCTGAGCCTCCGCCGGCCGCAGTGCCAGCCCCTCATCACGGTAGCACCAATGGGGGTCGTCACTCAGCAGGCGCTGGCTCAGAGAGGGGGGCCCGTGACCCCCGTGTGCCCAGCAGCTCTGCTTGCAGGGGCATCGTGGTGAGCCAGGGAGGAAGGATGGCGGCGGGAGAGCCCCCGTGCACTGTGGGGACCTCACACACCTTTTCTCCCCCCTCTGCACCAGTTCGAGGACGACATCTTGTCCATCTGCCTCAAGCTGCTGGACACAAACCCCAAATTCCTGAGGGACCAGAACCGGGACTGCTCCCGCCGCAACGACCCCGTGTACATTGGCAGGGTGGTGAGCGCCATGGTGAGTCCCGTGAGGCTCTGGCCGCCAGCTCACCCGGCAGGGTGTCCCCAGGCTCCCCAGCACCTCATGTCCCCTGGGGTGCAAACGCTCCCCTGCTGTCCCCCCAGCTACAGCTTGCAACTACAGCTGTGACAGAAAGGTGCCATTTGCCATTCCCCCCACCCCGTTACGCCAGTGTCCTCCCCCAAGGTGTTTCGCATCCCTTTACAACCCTTCCTGCTATTGCTCTTATATCACATATATATAAGATCCTTTTAAGAGGAGAGAAATAGCAGAAGTGGGGATGCACCATCCCAGGAGCAGCCTTTGCTCCTCGCTGGCTGCTGCAGGTGATAATCATACCCAAACTCCAGGCGGGAGGATGCGTTTCTGAAATCCATCCCCAGTTAGCTCATCCCAATTACGGCCTCTCCATCCACCCACTCTCCCACATCCCGGCACGCTCTTGCACCGCGGCCGCCTGCATCCCGGCAAGCTCTTGCATGGCTCCAGGATGGCTAATGGAGGTGACAGCACGTGTGAGCTGGGGGAAGGCACTTTCCCCCCCTCCCCACCCTCCTCCTGCCCCTCCGTGCCCGGCCGTCCATCCATCGCAGCCCCTCTTGTCGTGCCGCAGGTGAATTGTAACGACGAGGACTGGGGGGTGCTGGCAGGGCGGTGGGACAACCATTACGAAGATGGGATGAGCCCAATGGCCTGGATCGGGAGTGTGGATATTCTCAAGAGGTGGAAGAAGTTTGGGTGCCAGCCAGTCAAGTACGGCCAGTGCTGGGTCTTCGCTGCTGTGGCGTGTACTGGTGAGAGCCGATGTCTCCCATTTCCCCTTCCCCACAGGATGGGGTCACCCGTGTCCCTCCATCTCCCACCCCGGCCCCCTGCCCTCCACCCGCTCCCTGTGCTGCAGCAGGAGGGAACCACTGGGGCTGATTACAATCAGCCTGCGATGATTGCTTAGCAATTAAGCTCTCTGTTATTCTAAATTGTCAGGAAATGGAGGGAAAAAATGATAGAAAAGGGCTTTTCAATTAGACTGCCTCCCCGGCCAGGCAGAGAGGGAGGGGCTGGAGGCACGGCCCAGGAGAAGGAAAGTGGCTTTAAGGTCACGTTTGCAGTAAAGCCATGAATCCACTGAGATCAAAATAATTTCACTGCCGCTGGGGCAAAAGAGAGGAAAAATTCCAGGCTCAATTCTTGCATGCTCGCAGAGTTTCATCCTGAGGAAAATGCTGCACTTGCAGGGTTGAATGAGTGCACGTGTGCATTTATGTATCACAGATATACGAGATCCTTTTTAGAGGAGAGAAATAGCAGAAAACTATTTGGATTTTCCGTGACTCACAGAAGTTTATAGCCTTCCTTTGAAGCGTTAAAACTACCTCCCTGTTCCCCAGGGAGCTCCGCTCACAGTAAAAGGCAGCTATGAGATTAAATAAGAGGTTGCAGCGCGCTGCTGCCCGTGCACTCCCTCAAAAGCAGTCGCAGCCGCTTTTGTGCCTTTTTTGTACTGCAATATCAAAACCTGGCAGACTGTCAGTGCCGGGTGCCACCCGTCTTGCCCGCGGCACACCGAGTCCCACGGCGACTGCAGGAACCAGCTCGTCCAGGCACCCCTTTGAGGGGGAAAGGGAAGGGCAGGAGCAGTGCAAACCTGGGGCTCCGTGGGACGGGAGCTGTGCAAACCCGAGGCTCTGCAAACCTGGGGCTGCCCGGGACAGGAGCCGTGCAAACCCAGGACCCCCCGTGCCGGGACGCTGTCTCACCCTGCCCTGCCTCCCCGCAGTCATGCGGTGCCTGGGGATCCCCAGCCGGGTGGTGACCAACTACAACTCAGCCCATGACACCAATGGCAACCTGGTCATCGACCGCTACCTCAACGAGACGGGGCAGGAGGACCGGCGCTCCAGGGACATGATCTGGTGAGCGGCACGGTGGGACCCCAGCCTGCCCACCCCCGAGGCAGCGTTTTCCCCTTCTCCTGCCCTTCCCCGGAGCTCGGCAGGCACCGGGGGAGGGCGAGGC